ATTCTCCATTGACTGTATTGTCTGCTATAGTAACACCACAGAGATATTTAGATATGATGAAGAATTACTGCTGGAAATAATACATAGTAATATTTAACACTTCTGGAATCTTTTCACTCAAAAGCCATAAAACACTTGCATATCAGCTCACTTTACAGATTATGAAAAAGGAAATTTATTTTACTAAGGGAAATCCTTTAAAAGGGTCATAGTTATATTCCATACAGTGTGGAATCTGTTTTCACTTTTGTCCTCTGCTTGTGGCAGTTAGCAATGAAACTTGCTCAATTTCAAATAATACACCAATAGTATGGTTTATTATTCTTAATTCTGAAACTTTTGGCCTCTAGTATTTTCTGGTCCTTTTATTTCCTATCAGCTCGACTAAATCCAAATTGGGCACAAATCACCGAAAGATTTTAGCTGTGCTTTGTTAAACTGATCTTTTTTTGGTTGTCTAGTAACTATATCTCATATAACTTAATAACCAATACACTAAATAAATAAATTTTAAGTCTAACAACTTGAATCTCTAGTCCTGTTGACAACATGGCCCTCTGAAAGTTTTCCAAGACAAGGATATAAATTCTGATTATTTTTTTGAACTTAATAAAACTAAATCTAAAGGTGTTTTCTGTAAAAATACCCAGCATTTACTGGCAAAAAATATGTGCCGGGAACAGAGCACATTCCTATTTTTTGTAGAACTCAATCTGCTAGGCAATGTATAAAAAGTTCACACAGCATCCTGCTATTTCTTTCAAGAGAATAATAAATGTGTAACATCAGGCAGATATATATGAGCAAAATCTGTTCCCCTCTAGCTTTGGCTGCCCTGAATCAAATCATAGGAATACCCAGGTTAATATTCTGATATTCGAAATGGGACCATTAATTTTATGATGATTAACCATAAAACATAGCACTTGAGACTGCTTCAAAAAATCTAGTCTTGCTTTTTGTCTCTAACTACCCTGTGTTGCCTATCAGGGAGACCTTATGATTATAAAATACAAAAGCAAAAAAAACATAAAAACTATAAATTTGTTCCTATATGTGCACTCGTATCTTGGTTTACTCTACTTTATTTGAGGAGTACGTTTTCCAGAGAAACTGCACAATGAAAACTAGAAGGTATTTAGACCATCCCTTACTAAGGAGGTACACACTTACAACTCTAAGTTCTTTTCTGCTAATTATTACACACAACCAAAATCAAAAAGTAGATTTGGTCTTCTTCTGGCACCCACAGGCTCTCCATTTTATTCCAGAAGACAAATTCTTTTTAATTTTGCCTCCTCTCCCAACAACAGTAAGAGATCCAAGAGAAACTGAAGAATAAAATGCAATAGTAACTTTTAAACAAGTTGGTGCAATGGATTCCTCAATAAATGTGTATTTATAAAGGCAAGTGTGTAATTGCAGTTTATGCAGGATGACCAGGTACTATTATTTTTAATCCAGCTACTTCAAGAACTGTGTCAGGAACATTTCTGAGGGATTTATGTAAGATGAAAAACTTGTTGCAGAATATTTGCTGGCATCATTTCCGGCCTAATGTAAATTTCAGCTATGAGGCTTAACAATGTATTTATGGGATGCGGCACAGGACAGTGCTGTCCTGCAGCATTCTACTATTAAAGCACAAAATCGTGAATCTAAGTTAAACAAAGGCAGCTATAGAAGAAATTTTAGGCCCCTTTCTTGAAATATCCCATCTGAATCCAATTCTTTGCTGTTTTCACAGGAACTAACTTCAGGGCTTGGTTTGTGTTTTGAGTTTAAATGAAAGCAATATGTAGTTTTGAACTAGCCTGAATAGTCAGTTCCATAATTCCATCTGCTGGGCCCACTGACTGATTTTGGCAGCAACTCTTTACCTTTTCATACCTTGGTTTTCCACTCTATACGTGACAAAGAAGACACCACTGTCTTTCCTGTGTGGGCTTTGGAATACAAAGGGACTAGGCACGTATCTTTACCATCTTTTGAATAAGCAGGGTAAGTATCTACCACCTCTATATACCAAGAAGAAAGGCTGAAGTGGAGATATTACTATTAGTAGCAACAGACAGGAGCATCTTGAATGTAATGTCAAAACATATTGCCTGTGCAATCTTTTCTTCATAAACCAGAAAAATATTCCACTGTCACAGGTGTTTTAGGGAACATTGCTGCCAGATTTGCAACTGCAAAAAAAAGTAAGTCATCAGAATGACAGCAGTTAAAAGTAACTGGTTGCACTTCTTTTCTTTCCTAATTCAAGGACAGAAGAGATTAGGAATGAACATTGGCATCCAAAACACTACTTAGATATGAACATCCAAAATACTGTGGATGGACATGGACATTACATTTGTATTAAAAAACTTCCTCATAATGCTCAACTTCCGTGAACAGTGTGAGGGCTCAAAGTCTACTGTTCAAATCACTGCATACACTTATAATGTTTTACTGTTCCATGTTTTAGAGTCCAAACTACTAGATTTTCATAATTCAGTTCAAAGGTATAACACCTGCAGATAACTGTAAATCATTTCTCACAGCACCTCTACAAAACTGGCTACTTAAAACTCCAAGAGATTTATGGATGCTGAGACTGGAACGAACATCCCGTTGCAAATAGACAGATGGAAAAAATTCCAAACTACTTTTCAGATTAAAGTAATAAACAGAAGCATGCAGAAGTTCTTTTGAGAAAAATCAGTTTATTACTTTTCAGATTAAAGTAATAAACTGACTTTTCTCAAAAACTGGTAGCAGTTTTTGGAAGCAGAGAGAACTTCTACGTGCTTCTGTGATGTCAAAGATGAAATCTCTGTTTGTGGAGGTACAATCTGTAGCAAGAACACACGTCTGCCAAGACTCTGGCATTGATGATATTTTGTCTAGACAGCCTTTGAATGTGACTGACACAGGAACAGTGCACATGGCTGAGCAAATTGAAACTTACGGAAGAGCTTTTCAAGACTTAGTCAAGATACAGGATTTTGGAAATGTGCCTAACATCCTCCAACCATGCCTCCTGGTATTCTCCTCAGGAATCTAACTGGTTTTCTTTTGTCAAGTCTCCTAGTCATCCCACGGAACAGAAAGATGGATTTGCTTACGTAAGATGCTGGCAGGGCCATTTGGACATAAAGAAATATCATCAGCAAGTGGAGAGCTCTGCATACCGGCTAGCACTGAGAAAAGCATTCAAGCAATTGAATTGTGTGTTATTTTGAAGGTCTGAACACTGTAAGAATTTGCTAAATCTTTTCTTAACTACTGGGTTTGACCATGAGAAACACATGACAACTATTAGCTAAAGGACAGAAATAACTAGCTGCAGTTGATAACTATTCTAGCTATTTTAAAAAGCACTATGTATCTACCATGACCTTTTGAGCCTTGACAGATGTCACCTGAACCATGTACATGCTTTGATGGAAAAGTCCACGCAAACTTGCCATCGACAAGGCTATAATTTTTGGGAAATGATGACTATCATTTACAGTTAAATTTTCACTGTATGACAGCCCTGGTTGACAGTCCTCAAGCAACTGTCAGGGCTAGGAGAAAAGAGAAAAAGGTGAAGGAGACTCAAAGAGATTATCACCTTTTAGCTTTGGCTGGTTCACTTCCAGTTCAACTGTCACTGAAGTCAACAGCTACCCCCGTAACTTACTGGGATTTTATTTTAACTTCTATTAACCAGTATTATAGACAGTACTGTTCAGCAACCCAAAAGGTAAAAAACATAAGATTCCAGTTTGTCCTCCGGAGAAACATCAAGCCTTAAGACACTAATTTAGAGTTGCAGCAAAAGCACTAGCTACTGCTGTGGATCCTCAGAGCTCCAGCAAATTTTTGTACCCACAAAAAAAATTATCCTGGCTAAGTGAAAAATACAGTAGATACTTCTTCTCTGCAAATAAAATACGGACCTCAGTGAACCTTAACTTAATCCTGATACAGAAATTTGTACACTATACCTGCTTGGCTATGAGTGTTTCAGTCTTTGGTCTACAAACCCACAAACTCAACCTGTTGAGTCAGTACCATGCATGCAGGCAATAGCAGCAGTACTTGTGAATCTACAATGAAGTTCTGAGTGAGGTGTTATTGCTGAGAGGCACTGAAATACCTGCATTTTGGGACTTTTCAGTGAGTTGGAGCCGGAAAATTTTCTCACCTGGTTACACCGTGGATACAAAGAAAAAAAAAGTATTTTGATCTAGGTACTAGGTGTAAGTTTGCTATCATATTTCTGAACCAGAAAGGAAGTTTCTCCTCCCATCTCCTCTCTTCCTCCCGCCCCCTCACCTCCCACCTGCACTAAGGGAACACTTGTTGTGGGGGCAGCAGGCTTAGGAAGTTTAGATTAAAAATAGCCCTGACTACCACCTGGTGCTCTCCAGCAGGCCAGCATGCTGGTGACTCTTACAGATCTGGACCCTTATGAAGAGATATGATGAAATGACATGTCTTTTATTTCATACACTCCTTTATGGATTTGCAACCAAAACTAACTGGATCTGGCAAGTTGGAGTTGCCTGGCTCTTTTTGCATCACTGACACACTTGCACCTGTCACGGATGGATTCCTCAGAAGGGCCAAAAGGAGCAAGACATATATTTTATTTTGACAGCACACGGGAGCCAGATGCTGGGCCAGCAGGTTCTGGTGTTCACTGTCGGCCATTAGAAAAGGCGAAACACATCACCAGCACTGGGACGGGTGACAGGCCGCCAGGCGCACCTTCCCCACGGCCGCTGACACGCAGCAGCCGCTCGGCTTTGTCCGTGCCTCTCTCCGTTCAAACCACCCGGCTCCGCGGTGTCCGGCTACCTCCTCTCACGGCCGGCCCTGCAGCCCCGACATGTCGCCGCCCCGCTTTAAGGTCACCGCATGGCGAAGCCGTCGAGCGCCGGGGGCCGCGATGCACCCGGGCCGCGCCGCTCCACGGGCAGCTCGAGGGAGGGGGCAGGGCCACGGCCGCCGCCGGGGGCACTTACCAGGTCTATGAAGGTCAGAAATTTCCAGCTGCCTCCATAGGTCTGATGCGCGGGCATGTCAATGGCCTTGTAATTGCACAGGATGGAGCAATAGGACAGGAGGATGGCGGCGCGCAGCACCTGGCAGGGCACCAGCGCCATGTTTGCGGCGCGGGGTGCGCCTCCGTGTGCCTGTGTCCGTGTCCGTGTCCGTGTCCCAGTGCCCCGTGTGTGTGTGTCCGTGTGTCCCGGTGTGTGTCTGTGTGTCCCGGTGTGTGCGCGCCGTGCGGGCGGGACTCCGAGCGCCCCCGCGGCCCGGCCGGGGCGGAGCGCAGGGCCCGCGCGGTGCGGCGGCGGCGGCGGCGGCGGCGCGGGGCAGGGGCGCCGCGGGGCCGGCGGCGGCAGCCGGGCAGGCGGGCGGGCTCGGCGCGGGCTCGGCGCGCTCCCGAGCCTCAGCTCCGCGTCCCGGCCGGGCCGGAGGAGGCCGGGCCGGTCCCGAGGGAGCGGAGGGACGCCAGTGTGAGCACGAGTTAATTGCAGAACCCGGCTGCGCGCCGGTTTTCAAGCGAGAGCTGCAGTGAGTCAGCAGTTGCGGGCTGTCAGTGCCCGGCTCGCAGGAACGCTACGGCCCCTGCGTGCCCCCGGGGCGGCCCCCCCGCCGCCCGTGCTGCCAGGGGCGGAGCGCGGCCGGGGACGCCCGGGAGAGGCCGCGGCTCTGGCCGAGCGCCCTGTCTGCCGCTCCAGGGCTGCCCTTCGTGTGTCCGTGCTCCACGTGTGTCCATACCGCCGGGCAGAGCGCTTGTTTTGCCCTCTGTGTTCCTGACATACCTATAGGTTTGTCAGTGTTTCCACTCGTCCCACACAGACGTTTGCTAGAAGTGGGCTCTCCAATGCCTACAAGCCTCCTCCCATCTCACAGGGTTGAAATGAAGTACCAGCATTGTAAGTGACTATGCCCTGAGACATCATCACACCAAAGGGCTGGAACATGTCTCTGAAAAGGAAAGGTTCAGGGACATGGCCCTGTTCAGCCTCGAGAAGTGATGACTGAGGGGACCTCATCAATGTCTGGGAGTATCTTAAAGGAGGGTGTCAAGAGGATATATTCAGGCTCTGCTCAGTAGTGCCCAGCAGTAACACAAGAGGCAACAGACAGAAACTGATGCACAGGAAGTTCCGCCTGAATATGAGGAGGGAATTCTTTACTGTGTGAGTGACTGTGCATTAGAACAGGTTGCCCAGAGAGGTTGTGGAGTCTCCCTGACTAGAGATGTCTGAGAACCATCTGCCACAATGCTGTGCCATGGTGCTCTAGGATAACCCTGCTTGAGCAGGAAGGTTGGACCAGATGACCACTGTGGTTCCTTCTAACCTGACCCGTTCTGTGATTCTGTGATTCTGTCCTGTCAGCAGAGGTTTGATCACCACAGGGATCCTTGGTTCTAGGAGAAATGAAGGTAGGAGCTCATGTTTTGGACTCCTACACCTTAAAAAAAGAGATCTTAAGGTGCTTGATTGCAGGGTAAATATTAAATTGCTCCACCATCTGGAAAAGTTATTTTAAAAGGGAAAAAACCCTTTAAAATAAGACCAATGGTGTCTGAGCTTGGATAGACAAATCACTTCTATAAAATATCATTTCCATAGATCTGTCTTATGAAATAAATATTTGAACAATAAGGTACTTTATCATAGTGAAGCTGCTGGAAGGCAAAAAGAATCCATGATTGCGCAATGCATTTTCTGCTTCTATTCTACTAAGTAAAGTCAAAGCCTTCTCATCTGATATCAACTGTGCTCAAGTTCTGCAAAATGAAGGGCTTGTAGGAAAACACATGCTAGCAGCTATCCTCAATTAATTTAGCACTTTTCAAGGTCTCTGCTTATGCAGAGGAGTTGTATGTCATATATATACATGTATAAAGAATCCTCTAAGCATGAAGCATGAATTTAGCACCAGATGCTTTAGATAATCTTATCCATCAGTTCACAGACCCAGCAAGCACATTGGGCAATCACACCCTTGTTTCTGGCATGTGTTTTAGTCTTTCGCTAAAAGTCTTGCAGTCTCCCTGAAGCCTCAATGTGCAGTGTAAGAGTCATCTGAGTGTAATTTAATGGTCTGGAGTACAACAGGAGACCAGACTAGTGGCATTATCAGTGTGACCCAACAGAAGGGAGTCTGTAAAGCAACATTCTTGCTGGTGAGGACCTGATATCTGTTCTGTATGCATGCAGGAGGTTTCACGTCTTTGGATCTGTGAATATTCATTCGTGGCTGAGGTGCATTAAGTCATTAAGTGAAATCCTGGAGCACATCTTCTGTTTTGATTTTATTCAAAAGGAGTCCAGCTTGCTTTCTGAAACTATCTCAAGTTGCAAAAACTCTCAAAGGAAAGTTACTCTATGCAGAACTCTACTGTGTTGTGATCAGGCTCTTGACAACAAGAGTTTGGGGCTGTCTAAGCCTTAGGCAGTCCATCCCCTACTTTTCTCTTGCACCACCTCCTTCAATATATAGGAATGCACTCCTTTGGTCACCTCTCTGTCAATAATAAGGCACTGCAGACACTAACACTCACTGAACATTACATGACAGGCACCTTTAGCAGTTTGGATTTTACTTGTGTGTAGGTTAAACAGTCTCCAAATTTACAGCATCTTCAAAATCTTTTTAAAACTGAAAAGCCATCCAGGCATTTTAGAGCCCCATTTGAACGTTCCTCATTTTACTCTCCCCTTTTCAATAGACATCTCAGCAAGGCTCACAGAAAATCTTAACCTCATTAGAAAAGCTTTCACTCAGCCTTGTAAGTCAAGGTGAAAATCTAAATGAAGCAGAATGTTGTACATTACAACACTCTTGTGCCCCATTTTTTTTTCTTTCAATGAAGAAAATCTCAAGGCAGGCTAACTGTCATGCCATGCCCAGCCAAGCTTCTTCCTAGTAAAAAATTCATCTTTATTATGCATCTCTAATTCCTACTGTTGAAAGGAAGCGTAAGTATGTAATGGGTGGGTTCTTTGAGCCTGTGTCCTTTCTAAAGGAGTATCTGTTGGCTCTCTGTACAGTAGTCTCATAAGGACTAGATTAGATTGGAGGCTGCCATTAGCCTGTATGTGCTGCTGTGGATTTCATACTCTGTTTTTTGAAAGACAAGCAGCAAAGTCTTTTGTGACTGTTGTTGAAGTTGGTCTGCAATGGATTTTATTTTCCTTTGGATTTGGTCTTAAATATTTTTCAGCAAAGTAGAATTCAGAAGTTTACTACTTTAACCTTTACATTGCCGTATGAATGAAACTTTTTTATACTATGGTAAAATGTTTACATTTCAGGTTTTAGATTAAATGCTTAAATCATAGTTAGGTAGACTTTAACCATATAAAGTCAGATATTCAGGGCTACCCTGTCATTTTTCAGATCCCAATGATTAAATCCTTGATTTTATGTAAGTTGTAAAAAGACTCAATTTTCACAAGCCACATACTGTAAATTTACTTGAAAGTGTGATTTTGACACAGGTCATAGTTGTCATTCAGTTGAGATGAGAGATGGCATTAGAAAGGAGAAAGTTCAAAGCACTGGTGTGTCTGGGATGGGAGATGTTAGTAAGGGCTGTCTACTACAGCAAGAGGTCTAAAAATCTGTCAGGGAACTGAGTGGAAAAAATAAAAAAGGGTGGGGGTGCATTTTATCCAATTATATAAAATGAGTAGCATGGTGTTCTTGCTACTTGGCACCTTGACAGAATAAAGAATAACATCTTGAAGTCCAAGTTTTGATCATTTCTAGGCAGGTTAGCAGATAAGAATGTTGAAGAAATTTTTGGTGAATTGATTTTTCTTCTATTTTTTGGGGGGGGTGTTTTGTTTTTTGTTTTACTTGGTTTTTTTTAAATGGCTTTGAGTTTTGTTTGTTTTCCATTTTTTTAAACAAATAACATTTGAATTTCTGAACAGCATTTTATTTTGTGGATATCAGAAGATATTGATGAATTATCTGTGAGAGAGATTATGAGGTCCACAATGTGCCTTTCCTTAATTGCTTTCAATGCAGCTTAGTTGTCTACAAGGAATTATGCCACAAACACTTCCCTCCAAAGCAATGATAATGATGATGATGATGATGATGATGATGATGATAATAATAATAATAATAATAATAATAATAATAATAATAATAATAATAATAAAGTGGCACTTGTAGGAAATTTGTAATACTGCCTCAACACAATGTGCTCATGGCAATGCCCCTAATATTGCAATTTTTAATATCTGAGGCATAGAGTACAAACTGTGCCAAGGTAAGTACTTGGATGTGTGGGAGTGTGACTCTCACATAAACAGACATGCAAAAACTAAGTTTTCTTGTGAGGAATAAGTAAAGTTACTGAAACAATGCAAGTTAAAAATCATCAGGCTATTGCTGAAAAACCTTCTCGGTGCCTAAGAGAGGAGTTTTTAGAAATGCTCTCAGTTAATATGTATGTGTTTAATATGTAGCTCTTCAGTCAAATAAAGTACAACTTGGGTAGGAAATGGCCTCATGTATCAGGGGAGGATTCAACTCAAAATGTTTGGTAAAGACAGATGCTCTAACTAGGCCTATTGTTAAAAGTACTAATAAGGTTTAGGCAACTTTTTATTTCTCATTTACTTTGATAGGTATAAATTACCTATATAATAAAGATTGAAGGATGGAGGAAGAAAGATAATAAAAATTAAAAGACTGCATTCATACCTAGTAAAAAGAGCAAAGTTTTTAGATTTATGGAACTACTTCATTTTCCAATGACTGCTTATTGCCAATTTGCCTTCACATTTAGGTTTAAGAATAACTGTGAAGTTACTAATTTGGCATATTTTGTACTGCATATCTATATATATATTTAACAATGGGGAAAAAAGCTGGAGCAGAGATGACCATGAGATTAGTGAAACAAAGCTTGAGGAAGGTGGAAATTGAGTTTTCCTCTCTGCAAGTTAAACTTGGCTTTTCCTAAAAAAACATGAACTTTCTTGCTATAAAGATGAATTAAGCAAAAAAAAAAAGAACCTCACTGTGTTCATCTTCCCTCTTAAATTATAGTGCCCCAAAGGGATTATTTTATAAAGAAAAAGCCAAATTGTACAGATGAGGAATTTTGAATACCTAAGTGATGCAGGGACTGTGTAAGCAGATTAGCTTTTCTCCACGTTTGGATCAAATAATTTAAGTGTAACGAAGCTGTTTCTTGGTCAGGATTTAATATCTCAGTTTCATGTACTTTCTGTTGAGTACATCAGACAGTGTTAGGGCAGAAAGGGAAGGCAGGTACCAGGCCCTGAGGCACAGAAGTGTGTTACTGACTGGAA